CCATATGTGCATTAATTGACAGTGACCACTGATAAGCTACCACTAAATATTGTAGAAACTTAATTTGCTGTAAAGTTGCTTTGCAATGATTTGTATCGTGAAAAGTGCTGTACAAATAAACTTGACTTGACTTGTCCTCAGCCAACAGAAAGTTTTTTGCTCTCTGCCGGCTAAAGAAATTTGGTGTTCGAGATCAAGAATTGGTTATCACCTATACAGGGTATGTGCGCCCTGTGTTAGAGTATGCAGTTCCAGTTTGGCACAGTTCTTTGTCTACGGATCAAATTAAAAAGTTGGAAAGTGTGCAGAAACGGGTCTGTAAAATAATACCGGGACAAAGGTATCAAGGATATGCCAATGCCCTCTCCCTCCTTGGATTGTGCACACTAGCAGAGAGACAAGTCCAACAGTGTCTTGATTTTGCTAGGAAGCTATACAAGTCTAGCTTTAGAAACTGGCTACCACCACTCAGAGAGCAGTTGACTGGACGCTAGATGAGGAACTCAGATAAACTGACAATCCCCAGATGCCGAACAGAAAAAATCAGGAGATCACCAATTCCCTATAATGTGTAGACTTTTAAACGATTACAGACTTTAAAAGAACTTTGTGTATTTTTATGATGCATTTCATTAATTTCTTTATTTTTTTTTATTTTTGTATTTTATATGAAGTAAATTGGTATTGACATTTTATTGTAACAGAAAATAATTCAGTGTCCACTAATGACAAACGTCCTTGGGTACCTGTAATGATGCTGAAAAGTCAATAAATCAATAAAATGCAATAATGTAAAATAACGGAGGGTAATATGATCAAGCTCATATTTATAAATGTATATAAATATATACACACACAGTGGAGATCAAAATTAGAGAACAATCTATAAATACTTGATTTTTTCTGAAATACTGTTAATTTTCATTGTTCAAAATTTGAAGGAATATTAGCTGTAGGTATACTACTGTTCTACTAACATGTTTGACAAAATATCCAAGGCATTTCAACAAAAACCTTTATTTTGTTGAAAACACATTGATCAAAATTAGAGAACAGTAACCACTGTAGCAAGAAAGAAGATTACAACAAAAATTTTGGAGGGTCACAGCTGTCAGAAATTAGTAGGAAGTGTAGAGGCCCTTGCTTTGAATGACTTCAGCCCATCTGCGGCCGCAGGACATCATTCGGTTCTCAGACTACGCTGGTGTGATTTTGGTCCACTCTTCTTCCACTTTCTTCCATAGTTCGGTAACTGTAGTGAGTTTCTTAGCCATAACTTCGTCACCAAGGATTTTCATCAGATTTTCAATCAGGTTTAGATCAGGACTCTGGCCCGGCTATTTCATTATTTCAATGTTTTTAGCTTCAAGGTACTGCTTTACCCATTTTGTAGTGTGACAGACGGCATTGTCTTGCATGCTTGCAGGGAAGGAACTGCATGTTGCCGAAGGAGATTCTGATTTTGCATTCACCCTGCCATGTAGCTCTATAAGAGGCCCAACTCTTGCTGCACAAAACATCCCCCAAAGCATGACACTTCCTCCTCCACCTTTCATTCACTGACTTCTTTACACACTTGGGCTTCAGTCTTTCCCCAGTTTGACGCTGAACAAAATGTTTCCCACCAGACCCAAATAAATGAAACTTGCTCTCATCACTAAAGTGATTAAACGTCTCTAAAACGTGACAGACCCTTACCCTGTTCAGCGCTGAACTGGCAAGCAATTCCAGCTGCAGTGTTGAACCGATTCCTCATTGAGAGTCTCTGCATTATCCTGTCTTCTCGTGCATTTGTCTGACTCAACAAGAACCGAATGAGCCATGGCGAAGTTTGCCGAGGATTACTGAAGATTTTGATGAGTGAGTTGACGATACTGTGCAAGCCTGAGGCGCGTAGGCTACTGGAAATATGCTTGTTTATTATGACTGTTATTAATTTACATTTTATTAAAACCTGCAAAAACCTTTATGTCGAGTGATGTAAATAAATTTTACAATAGTTTATTTGTGCATGCATATTATATTTAAAGTTGAAAATCAAGGAGTTTATAAGGCTGATTTATTAATTCTTTATACTGTAGACATGTAGAACATATCTGCGTTTGTGCATCAATACCTGCAATGTGTGCTGTAGGTGCGAAACTTTTAGGAATCTTATCCAAGTTGTAGGCTAATCAATATTGCGCAGTCAGTCGTATCTGAGGATCTGCGAATGAAACTGACCACAAACACCATTAACTTAAGTGAATTATATGGCAATAATCAGCCATATGCTTTCACACAAATAACTTTATTTTTGAATGTTTCAATATGCGTTGACACAAATGACTTATTTGAATTTTTAATTGATACAACATGGCACTGAGTTGTTTGAAAATAAATGCGAATGACGTTATTGCTTGATGACGTCAGGAACCAATGAATCAGCTTTTTGAACCGGTTCAATCTGTCCGAAAAGTACCGGTTCGTGGAAATGAATCGGACTTTGCATCACTAATTTGGAATGACCAACTTCTCTTGCAACGGCTGAAAGTATCATCTCTTTGGCCTTCATCTGGACCGTCTCCTGTCGCAGGGTTTCAGAGCAGCCCACCATCTTGCAATCTCAGTGAGAATTGGAGGAATGCTGCCAGTTAAATAGGGTTTGTCATATAATTAAGGAAATTAGCACCAGGTGCCAAATTAATACCAATAACTTGGAGGTATCTGCAAGTGCTCTCTAATTTTGATCAGAGTTCTTTCAAATATCTCCAAAACAATTCATTTATGAAATATGCTTTAAAAACTGCCCTTCTACTCCTGTTAGGATAACTTCAAATAGTACTAAGCAGTGACCTTGAAATTTAGGAAATTATAGGTTGTTCTCTAATTTTGATCTCCACTGTACATATATATATTAATATATAATTAATATTATATTTATATGTTCTTGTTTTTATTTAACATTTTTATTGATTGTAACATTTTAATTATTATTTTCTAGTCTGTTCTCAGTTGGTTGGGGAGAGACTGAAATACTAAAAAAAACATTGTCTCCATATAATTAATTGCATTTGTTCTTGAAAATAGAAATAATTACATAAAAAAGCACTTTATTACTGCCGGATGAAAGCTCAACCATCTCATAGGTCAAGGGTTTAGAGCTTTTTTGCACCAATGTGGGATGCTGGTAAAAGTCATTAGCAAGTCCATTAGCAGGTGAAGGAGAAGAGAAAATTCACTGTGAGACAGCAAGATGTTCTCAGGAGACATCTTTAAAGATGATGGAAACAATACGTCTTTGTAAGGAGATGAAAATAGCCCTTAGCCAAGCAAAGTAATACTCATATTAGTCATATTGAGCACTTTACCTGGACCCAACGGACCGGTAGAGCCTGTTTGTTGTAGCTGCCAGCGTTGATTGAGTGGCAGGGGGGGAAACAGGCAGTTTGGTGGGTCTAACCAAAGGGCCAGATCACACTAGTTACATGGGTAATTGTTAACACATTTCTGAGGTTTAAACTTTGAGCTAAATATTTTACCTGGACGGAGTCTGTGTACAGCTGTTGAACTAATCAGTCTCATTTCATGAGCGCTGGGAAATTGTATGAAGAAAAATCTCACATCGACAGATCTTTTTTGTTTTTCCCCCTCGTCTCACTTCAAAGTGATCCTTGAGAAACACTTATTTCAATTTCTGGGCCAAGTTTATCCAGAGCGCACAGAGCAAACAAACATAAAGATTGTATTTGCGCAGTGAAATAAAACCGCCAATAAAGCAAAGACAAGAACAATAGAGTTAACAAAGTAAAGGCACGCTTTTCAGTGAATGATGTGCAGATGAGAACAGGAAATACATGTGGAGGAAGACGTGACTGTTTACTGTACGACTGATTGCCAGACGCAAAAAAAAAAAAAAAAACACACACATTGGTGATTGAAGGCTGGCCTGATTTTGTTAAGCCTAACACCTTCATCTTGTGAAAACAGAATGGATGACTCTTGGCCTGTAGTGATTTCGTGACACAACATTCTTGTTTGAAATGTTTGGTATCTTGATCTGTATCTATGCCACCTGAATTATCTGCTGTAATATGCAAGTTCTAGCACGGCACTTTGGTAAAAAAAGAAAAAAAACATCTGGCAGGTAAATAAGTGTACAAATGTAATGTTCTTTTAAGCTTTAATTAAGCTTCAAAATGCTGAAGACCATCCATGGTACATCCTTGCAAGCTGATTATCTATTTTTGGGTCAATCCTGCCACCTTGTGGAGCACTGAACAACACACAATTGACATTTATTTGCCTGAAAACGAAAATGGTCCTCACACAAAGCTATTGTATGGCTTCATGAGACTTGAACACAAGTCTTATGGAAAACTGTTATGGTGTTTTTTGTCCTTTTCAAAGCTTAAAAGCTTCAGTCCACATTCATTAGGAAAAAACAGCCACTATATTATTCAGCATTTCTTCTTTTGTGTTCCATGGATGAAATAAAATAATATGGTTTTGGAACAGCATGAGAGAAAGTAAATGATAAGAATATTTTTTTGGGTGCCTTAGATTATATCAGGCATAAATGAACAAAAAAAATTAAAAAGGGAAATCAAAGCCAAGAAAAATTAAGTAGGTAAAATAAAGTAAAACTAACCTATTGTCGTTCCATCCTTCCCCATAATGCACTTCATAGAAGTGATGATTTGCTCCACGACAGGAAGCGGCATAGAGGTGGCATAAATTGCACTGTGAGAATGAGTTCGCAGGTAGTCTATCAAATCCTAAAGCATAAAAAGCAAGACGTTTCATAATGACTAAGTATCTTGTAAGCTTTGTATATCAGTTAAACAACTGAGTTTTACTAATGACTAAGAAAATGATACACTATCGTTCAAAACTTAGTACTTTTACTTTTTTTTACTTACTTTTGCATTAAATTGATCAAAAATGACAGTAAACATTTCAAATAAATAATGTTCTTTCTCTATTAATCCAGAATCTTGAAAAGATATATCTAATATAGAGGTGGCATAAATTGCACTGTGAGAATGAGTTCGCAGGTAGTCTATCAAATCCTAAAGCATAAAAAGAAAGACGTTTCATAATGACTAAGTATCTTGTAAGCTTTGTATATCAGTTAAACAACTGAGTTTTACTAATGACTAAGAAAATGATACACTATCGTTCAAAACTTAGTACTTTTACTTTTTTTTACTTAAAAAATGTATACTTTTGCATTAAATTGATCAAAAATGACAGTAAACATTTCAAATAAATAATGTTCTTTCTCTATTAATCCAGAATCTTGAAAAGATATATCTAATATACACACATATATATATCACATACATCACAAAAAAAGTAAGCAGCACAACTGTTTTCAACAATGGCACTATTGGCAAAACATTTTTGCAAATTCAAATGATTTCAGAGAGATCCTGTGATTTAAGACTTTTAAGAGTAATGGCTTCTGAAAATTCAGCTTTGCCATCAGGAATAAATTATAATTATATACAATTAATATAAAAATATAATAAATAGAAAACAGTTATTTTAAATTGTAATCAGATAAAAAAATAACAACATTATAATATTTAACAATAATATTAAAATTTTTACTGGATTTGTATTTATTTTTAATAAATACAGCCTTGGTGATCATAACAGATCATAACAAAAATCTTACTGATTCCACACTTTTGAATGGTAGTGTATATTTCAGGGTTCCTCAAATCTTGCCCTGGAGGGCCAATGCACTGCAGAGTTTAGCTCCAACCCTGATCAAACTCACCTACCTGTGATTTTCTAATGATCCCGAAGGCATTGATTAGCATGCTCAGGTGTGTTTGATTAGGGTTAGAGCTAAACTCTGCAGGAAAGTGGATCTCGTGGGCCAGATTTGAGGATCCCTGGTATATTTGCTAAACCTCTTTCACTTTTCACAACCTTTTTTATATAAAAACATAAAGTAAGTATATAAGGACTTCTGCTATTGGTAAAAATGTATTGCAATTACAAATTGGCACTTGAACTTCATACCTTCCTCCCTGCTATGTAGCCACCAGCAGCACCGAAGCTCTTTGTGAAGGTGCCCATCATGACGTCTACATCTTTGGAGTCCAGTCCAAAATACTCCACCACCCCTCGACCGTAGGGTCCTAATGCCCCAATACTGTGTGCCTCGTCCAGGTAAAGGTAGGCCTTGTACTTCTTTTTCAGGGCTATAACTTCTGGCAGTCGTATGATGGAGCCCTCCATACTGAGTAAAGAACATGTTTGAGTACATTAAACTTTGGCAATTAATTTGATAGTTAAACTGTCAAAAGTGCAGCACATGTAATAACATGTTTCACACCTGAGAAAACCACAGCAATACAGATGCACATTTGCAACAATGAGAGGAATCCCAGAAAGTGAGAGTTCAATCACCTGTAGATGCCCTCCACAAGAATGAGGATTTTCTTCCAGGGTCGATGTGTTCTAGGCTGGCCATGAACGATAGCGTCTCTGAGCAACTTCTCCAGGCTCTGCATATCTGCATTTAAGCAAATAAAATGTTTAACCCATGTTTAACCCAGAGTAAAATAACTACATTTGACCCAAAGACTTCTTTAAATTTGTATAAGACTTGTCTTCATAAAAAAAAAAAAAGTTTAAATGGCATGACATTGGTGACATAAGCTACTGATAAAGTGGCTATATGAAAACTATGTGGTATTCTGGGGTCATAGTGTAGTAAAATGTTGCCTGTGTCCTTGGTCATAATTTAAGGAATGACAGCACATAAATTCATTGCAAAATATCAGTGCAAGAACTGCTTCAAGCACTTCAGTAATAAGTAATCAGAGTGCTGCTAAAGTTTCCCCAAGCCTCTACAATTTGACTCAAAGGGTTTCAAGGACCATTACCTATTCACCTCAAGTTACTTTATCAATTTAAAAGCTAATGTATTAATCACTGACAGTCATCTGTCCAAATTGCCAATTTAAATGATTCATTTAGAATAACACAGCTGAAATATGATGGAGAGCTGACCTTTCCAGTGATAAAATTTGTATTCATAGTAGGGGTGGAACAGTTCAACTTTTCACGGTTTGGTTTGTATCACGGTTTTAGAGCCACGGTTTTGGAATGGTTCGGTATGTGCTATGTTTAGGCAAAAACTATAGTCAAATAAAAATAAAGAAAATAAAAAATAATATATCTAACTACAAGCAACAGCACAAATAAATACAATAGAGTAAAGATACAAATAAAATAAATAGTGATTTCAGGTTTCTTTTAGGTAGGTCTAACATTAGTTTTCAGGTACAGAAATTGAATAAAGTAATGAAATGTAAAACAGCATTGTATATTTGACTGTATAAATTAAAGTTTAATCTTTTTTAAAGTTACAAAAGCTATTCAATCAAGAGCAGTGAGTGATTTATTTGTTGTTGCTGTTTGATTAATATAAAGAAAGTGCTGTCACTTTAAGAGAATGCACTGATCCAGTGCACTGATATAGTACGTTCAGCCGGCTATGTCTGCTATAGGATAATTACCATTTTGACAATTTTTGTGTGAATTTGTCCACTTAAACACAATACTTCAGAGAAAGCTTAATATTTGCCTGCGTTCTGAGGTGTGGGTTTGCGCGCTTTGGATGAGCGCATGCACAAATCTTCTCACTGCGCACTCGAGCTTGCGTCCGCTGGCTCTTATACTGGCAAAGCTTAAATGAGTTTAGCTTAAACGAGTTTAGCTTAAAACACCGATATCAACGTGTGCTGTTCAGGTCTCACCTGTGCACTCTCGCTATCAGCACCCGGGTGATGACGGAATAAATGCTCATATTACAGCATACGGCATTCGCATTGAACAAGAGTGAATGGTTTGTCCACGCTTTTTTTTCCATCGCTGTTGTTGTAATGTATTGGTAAGCCAGAATGCGCATCCATCAACAGAAACATATATTAGCCGAACCCTGTTTGTTTTACGTGTTATTTATAGCAAACCATATTACAGATGCGTTGTCCGATTCAAGTTGACCCGCGGTCCTTGCGCATACCGAACCGTGTGTGGAGAACTATACGGTTCGATTTTTTTCCCGCAAACGTTTCCACCCCTAATTCATAGTGTTTGACTGGACATTAACCAAAATGGCATTCAGAAACAAGACTAAAAACAACCCAAACTACAAAAAAGTTAACTTCAGGACCCCAACTTCAAGATTTTAACATGGGTCGAGGTTGAGCAGTTGCAGCGTCATGGGTCATGCTTTGTGTGCACTGGAGCTGCACCAAAAGTTCATTCTTTACCTTGTGCTGTTAACAGCTGTGAACAAGGACTGAGAGCATATAGATATGGTGATGATAAGATAAGAGATGTGCCTGTCAGTGCAAACTCACTATTGTGTTTAAAAACCCGGATGGTGGAGCCGGACAACCGGGCTCCCAGTACCAGAGAGGCATGGTTCAACTCGTCACTTAGAATCAGACATCCCTACAAACAGGAAAAACGGTGTCAGGTCACTGTAAGAAAATGCATTTATTTGATTTATTTGATAATATGCATCCTTCAAAGTCAGTTTCGACCACGTAAATCTGGAAAAAACAATTCAAGGCATGTGTGCGACCTGCACGTATTCTTCCCTCGGGCCGGATGAAGATGATTGTCCCAGATTGGGCCTGTGGGCCGCCAATTGAATAGCCCTGGCTTAGACGCATCTAAACTTGCGACATTTTTGGAGCGCTTCTCCACAGGATTCCTCAAATCAGAGTTAAGTAATCTAGCCTTATAATACAGGGCATTCATACAGAATGAGTTTTGCACTCCACTGCACTGTTTTTCCATTGTTTTCTATGTTAACATGCAGTAGACGGATGTGTTTGACCACTGCGATTGTGTTTTGCTATATATGTGTCTTGCTACATCTCTATATCTGGCATTTATTTTTTCATTTACCTACTCTTTTTGTTTTTTATTTTTTTAAACAAAAATACTTTCTGTGTGACTGGTTTGCAGTTCTACCGTGTGTCCTCTAATTCTCCAGTGTGTTCTGGGTGGATTTTAAATGGTTGCTTACCGGTCAACGTCAAAAAAATTAAAAGAACACATTTCCTTAGTAATCTTCACAATTTAAGCTATCAATAATGTCAATAGCACAAATGGTACATGGAATGAGTTGCATGCCTATGTTTAATGCTTAAATGTGCCTTATGTCCCAATATTTCCCAAAAACCAACAGTAACCAATAAGCACTCACCCATTTCCTGTCTGGTGCTGGCCATGCCCACCCCAAATTTCACTGTCACCTCTCCAGCAGCTGTGGTACAGGCGCCTGTGTTCTCTGCAAAGCCCAGATAATTATACGAGCCAAGGTTTATCACATCATTCACCACTCGTCCAGTGTACCTGAAAGAGCACAATACACTTGCGTAAGATTTCTTTTGAACCAAAACTAACCCTTGATGACCCTAGACTGGATTTTAAGTCTCATGCAACCTCAGTCACCTCACGTTTCACATCAGGTTATAATCAAGCCTTACTTTTGAAAGCTTATTGTACATTGGCTTGAAAGTGACCTTGATATTATAATCATTAGATTAATGCAGCTCTCATCTTGGGAGATAAAACAGTTAAAGACGTGGTGTTGTTTTCCTGTTCAGGTCCAAGATGGCCTACTTACTCAAAGGTCCAGTTGTAATCATTGGAACTGCGCTCAACGAGGTCAAACGTGGCCCCAGGAACACTGCAAATGGGCCTGTTCCAGCTGTCCCGAATCCTCATGTATAAATTCCTTGTGTAGAAATTCTCAAAATCTTGATAAAGTGGAACAAAGTCCTGGACAAAAAAAAAAAAAGAAAGATTCACATACTTGATGTTTTTTGTTCATTACCTGAAAACAGCTCCTTACATTTGGGTGACTAAGTTGTCTTGAATCCAATATTTTAGGAAGAACAACACCCATAAAAGGTACATAGCAAAACAAAGCGCAACCTTTCAGTGCCCTAAAGCAGTGTTTCTCAACCTTTTTTTAGTCGCAGCACCCTTTGGAAATTTTAACAAACTTGTGGCACCCTACAAAATTAATTGTCACAATATTTGAATTTCTAACTTCGATATGATAATTTGAAAAGTATAGATATTCGGTACAACAGGGAAGACCTGCAGAATATAATGTCATACAGATATTTTTAATATTATTAAAAACATTTGTCCATCAATGGTGGCAATCAGTAGGCTAATTTCTAATGAAGAGACCAATTTATATGACAGATTTTAATGTAGGCTTTTATACATATGTAAACATTATTTAATTACCATTACAACTAGCTATCTCACTAATTTTTGCTTTTTTAATTAAGCAGTGGGGTAATTTTGGTGCAGTAGCACAAGATTGAATTGAATAAAAAATGACAAGGAAGCAAACAGTAATAAAATAAAGAACAAATAAAGAAATGAATAATGATAGCACAAATAAAAAATAACGACAGGCCTTCGAATTAAATAAATTGCTTTTTAGTTTTTCAGGTAGGTCTAACAGTAGGGTTGTCACGAATCCGATCCATGAATTTCCATCCACTTGCCACCAGAGGTCGCCCTTCCATGATATTGACTCTCGCACCACACAGACTGTTACACATCAACCTGGACTACATTTCTCATGTTCCATTGCACTGATTACACTCACACCTGAATGCTATTACACACACTATATAACACCTACCCTGATCCTGCTCTAGTCACCGAGTATTGTTCTGCATTTTTCATTCCCCAATTGTTAGCTGCCTTACCGAGCCGTTCCGTGTTTTCTGTTTTAGTCTTGTGTATTGTTTTGCATTTATCCCTGTTTAGCGGATAGCTACCTTACCGAGCCTGTTTAAGTTTTCATTGTTTTTTAGTCTTGCCTTGTCTGTTTTCCTGGTCTCTGATTCACGCCACGTATCTTGGATTAACCCTTTGCTTGCTTTTTCTGACTCTGTTTGCCCCTGCCTGGACCTTTACCTTCTACCTGGATTTATCTCTTGCCTTGCCTTCGATATACCTGTTTGCCATTGTCTGACCCATGCCTGTTAAAACCACGTCTCTTAATAAAAGCTTGCATATGGATCCGCATGTCTCTCATCTCATAACAAGGGTTAAGATATTTAACTTTTTTTTTTTACCAATTTTAACATTTTCGGCAGCTGGAATTTTGGTGCATCTCTAATTATTGGCGACATCAGAAATGGATATTATATTATAGATGCTTTTTTGGAACATTTTAGCAATTAAAAAATATTAAAAAAGGATTTTTTACACGGCACCCCTGCTCTCGACAGACAGCACCCCGGTTGGGAAACACTGCCCTAAAGTACTTTACAATAACGGTAAACTGCACAATATCCTTCCTCTGACAAAATAGCCTTTTCCTCTCAAACTTACCATAGTGCTTTACACAGAAAGAGTCACAGAAATATCATGGCAATTACACCATCTTTTCAGGCATATGAGTTTTCATAATTTAAAAACAGCTTAAATGATTTCTTATTTTTGTAATTTAATTTTTAAAAATGTTCCTTATAACATGAAACTGCAAGGAAATTTGACAATAAACCACTTTATTGATGATAAAAAGTTTCCATCTTTACATTAAAACTGGTGCGTTCAAATGTACGTTTACATTAAAACTGGTACATTCAAAGGTTTGGGGTCAGTAAGATTTTTTTCTGTGTTTGAAAGAAGTCTCTTATGCTAACCAAGGCTGCATTTATTTAATACACAAAAACACACTAAAGTAAATTGTAAAATATTATTACGGTTTAAGTTTTTTTTTCTGTTTTAATATATTTAAAAGATATTTCTTTCCTGCTGAATAAAAGTATTAATGCCTTTCCAAAAAACAAAACAAAATAAAAAACTTTGAACGGTAGTGTATATATTTGCTTTTTTCCGTCATCCACACGTGACAGTGTTTACCTTCTGCTCCTCCCTTTCTCTGGCTATGTGGCATTTTTCTATTTTCCACTCCCTCATGAAATCCCGCAGATATCCAAAGATCGTGAGGATGCCGTAGCCCATGTACGTGAGCACGGCAACCAGCATGGGAGTTTCCTCAAAGGACTCGATGAACGGCCTGCTGTAAAGCTCTCCATTGCATGCAGCATGGTAAACCTGTAAAGCAAAACCCATTAAAACACTGTAGTCATGGTACCATCACATTGTGGTTACTGATTACAAGATGTGTAAAACATTTGCAGAAACAACAGATTCTATTTGGTTAATCTGACAGTTTAGCACAGAAACCATGACAAGCTTTTGAAAGCTTTATTCACAGATACTTTTCAAAAGTCAGATTAACTTAAATAGAGTCGAAGTTTGGCCTCTCATTGTCAAAAGCTCTGTTACTCATGGTGACCAAAGGATCACACAAGTTCTGGCCCAAACAGATGAAGTAGTTCATTCAAAACCCTGTGATTTGCAGGCACATGTGACTAATCATGCACCACTAACAAATACCACGGAGTCTAGCAACAGTGACATCCACATGAGCTCCCACCAGCTCCAGGACAGCAGCACAACTTTGCATTCAGTTGCCAGGCTGAAAGCGCCTTCCAGGAAAAAGTCTTTTGAAAAATACACAATAACACACTTGCAAAACATAGATGTGTGTGATATACCTTTGCAAGCTGTTGCTGAACATTACAATGGAAAGTCAATCAGAAGAAGTCAAAAGAGCTGATATGATTTTACAAGACAGTTTAGTTGCATAAACAAAGGAACTGTGACAATCACAAAGCATAGAACATCTTGGAATAGATGAAGCTGACCGATCTCCCACTCAAAACGCTGACAGTACAGGAGGCACATGACAGAAATTCCTAGAGCTTTAACATGATTCATGAGTTGCTTACAATCATCCGCACAACAAGACACTGGTATGAGATCAAGATCTTGACTTGCCTTCCTCAGTGCATTTAGCTATTAGATCCATTGATAGATGTATTATCTACAAACTTGAATGAAATCAAATATAGATGTTAATATGAATAATATTTACATATGAATATATAAATATTATTAAAAATTAAACACAGTTTAAAATGACAAATTATAATGTGTTACTTAAATCCATAGTATATATATATAATACAGAGACAAATCAAAAGTAGAATTTTATTATGACAGAAATTCCTAGAGCTTTAACATGATTCATGAGTTGCTTACAATCATCCGCACAACAAGACACTGGTATGAGATCAAGATCTTGACTTGCCTTCCTCAGTGCATTTAGCTATTAGATCCATTGATAGATGTATTATCTACAAACTTGAATGAAATCAAATATAGATGTTAATATGAATAATATTTACATATGAATATTTAAATATTATTAAAAATTAAACACAGTTTAAAATGACAAATTATAATGTGTTACTTAAATCCATAGTATATATATAATACAGAGACAAATCAAAAGTAGAATTTTATTGGGCTACCTATATATGGCTTTTTTGATCAATCTATAGATCTATTTTCTATCAATTTAAATAAAATATACTAATATACATTTCCAGTTGTTAATATTTTTAGTAATATAAATGAAAATATTCACATACACTACATACAGATTATAATTATAATGTTTATAACTAAAACTACTGCAGTGTTTTATACAGAACAATAAATAGAAACTTAGAATATAACTATATAGATCTATATCTTGCCTTGCCATTTTCATTGCATTTGACTTGCATTGATGCATAAGCAGCATGAGGTTGCACATTAACTTTCTGGTTCAACAAACACAGTTTATCCAGACGAGTTTTCACTTATGGCAATTTCACATCATATATTTGATGCTGCGATGGCCAAGGCTCTTAAAACAATATTATCAGGTGAAAGTCTACATCTTATCTGGCTGTCAAACTTTACTTTTCCACATGTGAGCATGCCATAAACAGTGAAACTGCACGTCATGCACTAACTGAGCCCAATCCTGGCACAGTATTGAGAACAGCTGCTGTGTTGCCATGCATCATCATTTTCATCGTACAACAAATTGCACAAGCAGATTTGAAATATCAGCCATGCATGATTCAAAGATCTCAAAGCATGATATGGCCTCACCTTCTCCTGCTTCTGATACTGATGATGGTGATGATGATGGTTCTTCACCATGCCATTTCTTCCTGGTTTCACACCATTCGCTGCATGACAATCCTCATTTTTATTCCCCGCGCTCTCAGTCATACTTATCTATGGGTAAACACGTGCAATCAAATGAATGAAGACGGAAAGATGGAAAAGAGTCGGTGATCAGGGCGACGCGCATCACCGCTACCCCGAAACCCACAAGCGAGAAATCAGAAATTCCAGCCTCCTCATCTCGGAAATCAACGCCCCGTTAGTCGCACCCACCAATCAGAACGCAGAGATTAGATATTGGGCGTGGTTTGTATAGCAAAGGCGTGGCCCTCTGCGAGCTTCTGTGCGCTAGTAGAAATTAAATCTGGTAACCTCTGTGTGTTTCACCTGTCTGGCCCTGCATAACTCGAATATTTGTCTGATGCTCGCAGTTGCAAATGATATCAAATCAATTATAAAATGTGAACAAGCTTAGATAATATATTTGTGCTCGGCTTTTAACTCCGAGCTATATGCGCTTCCTCTTTTCAAATATACTTTTACAAATATTCCTAGCTACTTCTCCATGCATGAACTCAGTTCAAGTGAATGGATGAAAAACATGCATTTTTAGATTTTTGTACTGTGTTTTATACAATATTAGGCCTAATAGCTATTAGATTAGCCAATAGCTGTTATATTAATTAGAATTTTTAACACGTGATTAAAATAAAGATTGATATAAATGTAAATATTGCTATAATTTGAAAACAAATTATAGTTAATAATTATAATGTGCATTACTAAATCCTAAAATTAATATAATATAAAAGAAGTGTATTATCATATAGGGGAGACTGGGTCTAGTTGTCACACGTTTTACTCAAGTGAATATTTCTCAGGGTAGGTTCATTTTTGAAAGTCAATTTTGTGTTTACATCCATTGAAATCTGGGATTAGTTTTATTTGAGCGTCATTTAACCTTTTTAGCATCATTACCTTTTATTAATATTTTGAAAGTGTTTTTCAATATTTTCATTTTGATAGTTTTTTTTTTTGTTTAAAAAGGTTTTTATTTTTTTTAATCAAATAACATTTTTTTTTTATCACATCAAGTTAATCTTAGTTTTATTATTGTTTAAGTTTTAGTTAACTATAAAAACCCTGTCTGGGATACAAAAATGATATGGGGTAAGTTGTCACAAAAATGTAACCTGCCATTATTAAAACTTTTTGTATTTGTATTTATTTATAGCAAAACGTAATTTTTTTTTTTTTTAAATCACAAAACAGCAGCAGTCGAACAGCTAGCAAGCACGTTTTTATCGTGTTGTCTTGTTTAACCAGCAACTAATACAAAATGATATTGATTGACTAATTTACAAACAACATACAAAACCACTGTTAGAGAAAACAGACATTTGTGTTACTGGACACTTACATCTATAAACATCCACTAGTGCAACATATAGAAACAAATGATTAATGCAAAAAAAAAAAATAGAGACGTTTTCATTTTCATTGCATTTACATTTATTACAATAAGCAGATAGTTTTATACAAAGCATCTAGAGAGTACATTAATCCACTAGGGTGGAGTAAACGCTGTGGGCCAGTTGGTGTCTCTCTTACATCACCGGTCTTGCAGTTTGTCTAGGAACTGTGAGGATTTTGCCCCAATCAGCACATTGCACATCTCAGACTACACCCTGTGTCTTCTGCAGAGAGAAAAGCTTGTGAACGCCCTCGCCCAACCTCACTTAAGACAAAAACGATTCTTTAATAACCAACCCAAGAAGGCCCTTCCCTCTGTTTTCCACATCAGTGTCGCTTTAAACTTGTTTGAGAACAATCTGGAAATAAATAAACATATAAATGAATTAATAAAAACACAATCTCTTGCTGCACAATCAAGATAAGGTTGTATTGTTTTCACTAATTAAAAATAGCTGCCATTTTCTGTTCAAAACAAGACTGTAAAATACATTAACCCCCCCCCCGGCTATATTATGAAGAGTGAAATATCAGGGAAAAAATGAGCGCCCAAGTTCAGTAAAGCCTCAGGAATAGTCTAACGGGATCATGTATGCACTGGAGTCATTACTCTGCGATAAAACATCTGTGAGGTTCAATGAACAACAGGCAGAGCTGTAATCACCACTGACATTGAGCAGGACGCGGTGCCTCAAATATTCACATTAGTGGTTGACAGAGATGCTTTTTCTTAAATTATTACTTCTGGTACCCCAAATCTTGAAAATGTAGTTAGATCCTTGATAACAGGCACTTGCGTACAAAGCATATATTATATGAGCTTATTTGATCTGTTATATAAAGCTTAATGATCAATGGACACACACACACACACACACACACACACACACGGACACACACACACACACACACACACACACACACACACACACATATATATATATATATATATATGTGTGTGTGTGTGTGCAATATATTTATATATGTATGTATTTCTGTTTATAGTTTCTATTATATGGAGCTTAATGGTCAGTTTCTAAAACTAATAAAAATAAATACAATTGTAATTTATTTATTTTATTTTTACTATGGTTATAATAATTGTGACTTTTCTTTGAAATGGCAATATTATTTCTACTAAGTGCAACTGTAATTGTGACCAAACAGCTCAAAATGTGATTTAATACCTTAAACGTGACATTATATCTAAAACAAATTGCAACTCTCTTGTAATGTTAATCAGTATATCACAAAGCCATGTTAAATATGAAGAAAAATTTGACTTTACCCCCCCCCCCCCCAAAAAAAAATGCTGTTTTAATGTTGACCCAATATCTTACAATGTGACATTAATTATCTAAAAATGCAACTTTATTCTTAAAATTGGGATTTTATTTGTAATTGTTTTCAAAGAATCAAAAGAAAGAAAAAGAAAAAAAGAATTCACAATAAAAAATGATTTAAGGAAATAAGATGCAGTGCATAGTGATTGTAGTTTTTTGCTACCCAGAAGACATTCTGCAAATCAATTTTATCCAAATACTCTCTTATGTTCTTCTGTTTCAGCATACATGCTATCTTGACTTCCCTTCCAGGCAGACTAGGATTTTTACAGCCCCACCAAGAAATCTTTGCCAGAAACATTATTCACAAGCCTTTTATCTCTGCTCTCCTTTCTTTTCTACAGAAGCTGCTCTGTGTTTAATTAAGAACAAAAGAAACAATAAAGAAATGAACTGTAGGAAAGCAGTTGCTCCGAGCCTTTAAGAGCTCTAAACACTCGTTTTCCCCCCACTTCATCTTCTTGCTGCATTGACTTTTCACACACTGATCCTAGACTGTGGTTTATATAACCGTTTGGATAGAATGTCACTCAAGGAGATTGGTGTCAGCGCTGATAACGTACCAAAGTGATCGGAGACTGAGATCTCGCTTCCTAATTATGGAGCCTCTTGCCCGACGTGCATCTGGAAGGGAGTGATAAGAGGAATGCAGCTGATGGGAATAAAGCGTTTCTGAGGAGGGGGGTTGCAGAGGCAGGCAGGGGTACCACAGAGCTGGAGATTGTTCTCCCTCTATATCTCTCTCTGCCTGCTAAGATTCAATGTTTGCTACTGGCTCCAAATGCACTGGAGTTGGAAAGTGAGTGGGAGAGAGAAAAGGAGAGAAGGGGAGAGCGTGATACTGAGTAAAGGTAGCCATTTTCTTAAGCCACGTCGCAATGCAGATGAGGAGATCAAAACGGGGTGTTTTGACTGAAACTAGCCTTCACACGTTTATATGAACAACTTCAGGTTTCCTATCATTGCGCATAATAAATCATCAATCTACTTGTGGCATCATACATACAGTGGTATCTCCCGAGGTCACCCTTCAACACGCTCATCTCACATCAGGTACATCTGACAACAAACAGAGCCTATATACACATCTCAGGCTTATTTTCTGTATGAGGAACATGTTGTTGGGATTGTTAAATGCATTAGAATAGACATCAATAGTCCCATACGGACACTTTTTTTTTTTTTTTGGCCAAAATATATTTCAAATAAATGCTACATGTACGCAACATGGCTTAAGAAAATACATTTGTCAAATTTAAAATATAATACAATTTAATTTAAACCTTTAAATATACATTTATATATAAAAAATATATATTTAAAAACAGACCAAAAATATATGAAGATATGTAACTAAAACATATGTTAAAAATATATATATCTTATATACTGTATATACAGCATATATATATATATATATAACAAAATATGTACATATAGATATCTAAAAAAATATATGTCATGAATATATAATTGTCCATTTTTGTATATTTTCAAATAGAGAGAGAAAGATTCTCAAAAACAAGTAGTTTTAGATTTATAGACCCATATATTAAATTATATGGTTTTACATATATACAGATATAAATATCAGGGGATTTCCCCATTTTACCAAAAATCTCCAATTACTAAAAAAATAATAGCACAGTTTTCAGTTTTCAGTCATAGGGCAAGTTATGCACCTTAAGTTTAATGCTTTGGATTAAGGGTTTGTTTAAATCCCTAATCTTAAGTATGAGCAATAGTAATTGTGATGTTTGATTTGGCAAGCGCTACTAATAATTAACCCCTAAAAATGTTGGCTGTTGATTTACGTGGTGTGTATATTACTTCACATCCCTGTTACACAAATATGGAGATAGGCTGTTCCACACGATGATGTTGAATGCCAGAAACATATCATATGAGTGATGAGTATTCAGTACACGTGGAAAACTCCCGTTATCAACTCCCTCACTGCTGCTCTAACACACGTGACGCCACAAAAAGGGCTACATTACAATCCACGTTCCCGAAACCTATTACACCGAACGGAGAATTCACTGAACTGAATAGGCAGAAATGAAGGATCATCAACAGTCGTGCTTATCCAATTGGATTCTCTTCTCTTCCAACTTCCAGATCCTTCTTTTCTTGTTACGCAGGAAGGAAAAGCTGGAATAGCTTTAGCCAGCACAACACTGGAGCTTCTGCTGAACTGCTGGAAGTGTTTTGGATTCCCCAACACAGCTTTCCAGCTTTCATTTCCTCTGGCTTTCCTGTTTGCTTTAGAACATTTGGAAGGGAACTTCTCTCCTCCTTTATCAGATGATGACACACAGGGCTCTGTAAAAACAAATGCAAATGATATATATATATATATATATATATATATATCATTCT